CATTAAGAGTTAGAATCTAATTCATTTATGGCTCTACCAGATTTCATTATATCGTGTTAAGGATTCAACCAGGCTTGTTTATGTTATATTCTTGAGTGTGTGCCATAGCTATGGGCACTTTTAAGGTATCATCATTATCTATATCCTTATTACTAAACCTATTATATTTTATTTTCCAATAATTTAACTGCTTTATATATAATTAATTAATATATCCTTCTTATCTTCATCTCAATTATCACTATTTACATGTGTTTATCCTGTTCTAATCTCTTTTTTAAAATTGAATAAAGTTAGTTCTTATAAATTGTACATACTGTATTTTTGGAAATTGTTGATGATTTTTAAGCTCAATTATATATTTTTATATTATATTAATAACTTGGCTGCAGTTCTTGTATGTGTTTTATGTTTATGTGAACAAGGTGTAGCTGACTCTTTGGGGTTATAGTGAATTTTTGCTTAAGCTGCCCTTGACCATTGTTGTTTGGTCAGGGCTCAGATATGCTTGCAATGAATTATTATTATTATTATTATTATTATTACTTTTTATTATTATTATTATTATTATTATTATTATTATTATTATTATTATATTTTCCAATATCGTAACTTCATAATTCACCGGTGTTGCCAAATGTAAAACAGGAATTTAACACTCAATAATTAACAATTCAATCTTCAGAACATAAAAACATAATTTGCTCAGAGATTTTTAATGACTGGAATTATAATTAAGATACATACCACCCATCGGACTCTTAGTGAGGTCTCACTGTACGACCTCACGACCACTCCTTGTGGATAAACTGATGGAACTGTGGAAAGATAAACAATAAAAATTAAATATTCAATTTCTATCTATTGTATTGTGAAAGGGCGGGAGGGGGGTGCCCAAATATAAACTTCCCCCGGTCGCCCCCAATGAAATTGTCTGAAGCAAAGGAATCGCGCTCAAGTAGTTAAAAATCAGATCATATCACCCTATTTTTCAGCCAGCCTATTTTACCCTCCCCTCACTCATGTTCATCAAGACCCCTCTGCACCTTATATATGGTCATGATGTGATGTCATCACTGTCTCTTATACACATCTAGATGTGTTATATTGAATAATGCTCTACTTCATCAGTGAACCGATAAAAAAAGAATCTAATAACGTCTATCTGACTTTAGGCGAGACGTTTTTTATACCTTGTTTAGCGAACTCGCCATCTGCCAACATGAAGATTTCTAATAAAAAATCTTAGTTTTGTCCACCTAGCCCACCTGCTGCCACGAAAATATGGAAATTTCATAAAAAAATAAATGTTTTTCTTTATCTTTATTACGCCCACCATTGCCTTAAAAAATAATATATGTACAGTATATTTCTTCATAATTATATAAATTTAAAGCATTTAACTATCATCCCATTACTACACTGTTTACCTCCAACAATAACATTTTATTTTGATTTTTTTTCTCTGTCTGGATGTTTTTGGCAAAACTATTTGCTAAATAAGAAAATATTTTATTTTTATTTTTTTCCTGCCCTTCTATGACAATCTTTAAACAAGAAATACTTCCTATAAGAAACGCTCAAACATCTTTAACATATGAATTTCCAAACAAGGTGTAAAAAAGGTCTCGTCTTAGAATTCCTGCATTGTATTTAGTGTAATCACAAGTTTTGAAATAGTTACTTAAAGGCTTATGACTTACTGTCCTGCTGGGTTTGTGTACGAGTAGAGGGCTCACTAGGAGCACTGGAGTTAACAATGTTTGTTGCAATTATCCTGAAGCGATAGTTTGTGTATGGACTCAGGTTCGGGATGGTGTAGCCTGTGGAGTCGGGATCGCTGTACTTGTAGATGACAACCCATTCCTGGCTGAAACCAATCTGGGCCTCGGTAGTCCACTCTCGAATGCTGGTCTTACCGTCGTAACCCTGAATGAACTGTATGTAGACTGATCTGGCTTGTACGTTGGAGATTGCCAAGTTCATTGGTGCTGTCGGAGGTTCTATGACGAAATAGATCAAATTGACAGGAAAACCAAACAAAATTGACAAATGAATGGATGCGATACTGTATATTCTGCTTAAAATAGCAAATTACGATAAAATAATAGGCAGTCGTCTTAAATGCACGACTTACAAATTTGTTCGTCTTATGTGCGGATCACACGCAAATTTACTATTGCAATGGGGCTACTAAATGTTCGTATGAATGAACACAATTTTAAATACAGGAAAATAAGATTCCTTTTTTTTTTTTTTTTTTTTACTTTGGAAAAATCTTCCCAAAGTCTTCTCAAAATCAGGGGTCATCTTACACGCAGGTCGTCTTATACGCCAGTATTACGGTAAGTATTCTACTACAAATCACACATCTGAACTCACCCGGAGGTACTCCAGACTTGATGGTTGCTGACGAGGGCTCTCCTTCTCCTATATCTGTCCATGCAGTCACTGTGATCTCATATAAAGTTTCAGCGGTGAGACCTGTAATCTCTGCTTCGGTGGACGGTGGAACTACCAGACGATGCTTATTCCAAAAAGTATTGCTTACCTCCACCCATTGCACCTTGTACGCTACAGAAAACAATCAAATCAAATATTATATATTTATGCGAACACCGTCGAATAGGGAATGAGGACTATTGTTATGGAGATGGTTCATACGTGGCGCCCTGGGTCGGACTGTTCTATCCTTTTTGGAGGGGGGTTTTGTTTCTGGAAAAATGGTAATTGGTCGGGTTATTCAGGTAAGGATTCACGAAATAGATTAATCATTGAATCAAATATTATATACTTGATATTATTAATAATATGTCGGTCTTATATAGCGCTTCATGCATAAAGCCTCTAAGCGCTTCACATTATTACTCCGGTGTGGAACGCGTATGGAACATGATTTGCACAGCAAGAGTTTCGAACCCCTGACCTCAAGTTTGGGAGTCCAAGCCACAACCAATGCGCCAACCACTGCAACAAGTGTCACTGACAATTAGTAATTTGTAATTGATTAATTAAAATGTTTGAATGTAAATAAAGATGTCAATTTTTTATGTCAAAAGTTTGGTAAACAATAAACAAAATTTATCATCAGGTGTTATTAGATGTTGCGCATTTGAATGGCAATTTGCGTGGTGCACAAAATAGTAAAGAGTGGTACAATTCAGCCACGGTAAAGTTACCCATCAATCTTGGGTCAAAATAAAGTAATTATACAACACTAATAAAACATGCATAAATCAGCATGAAGGAAATATCCTATAGAGTACACATTGGTGTAAGTCATATTGCATTTTCAGCAAGGGTTCGTAATAAAAAAAAATAAATAAAAAAAATACATAAATAAAATGTGTTAAAATTGAAAAAAAAAAAATAAAAAAATAAATATCAAATACCAAGACACAATTCAAACTCACGACGTTTGGTTCTTTAGTAAACATTCTTAACCGACTAAGCCATCCATTTGATGTGCCCTATTAGTGGTAATGGAATTTACAGTCCTTGCTTAAACCCCAGTTTTGTTTTGTAGGTGTAGGGGGAAACCCTGGGGTCAAACTTAAAAAAAAGGGCCATGAACGTTTGTTGGAAATAACCTCTAGTTTATGTGTATGAAATTTCCTGCACGTCCGGTCAAAACTGTCGACGCTGGATGCTTTTTAAAGTTTGGTAACAACAACAACAGCAGTACAGTTCTGGGGTCCGCCGTGTGCGGACCCAAAAATCTTCAATTATACTGAATTTTAATGAAGACTCTTAGCACAAGAAGACAAGTGGCTTAACCATTTTTTGTGTCCCAGAGCAATGCTAATTCTACCGCCACCATTTACAAAAATCAAGAAAGAATGTATCCAGCTTTGGTTGTACAGTGTTTAGCTTGTGTTTGACTGTGAGATCTGCTCCAAATTTTGGTATTTATCATGCTATTAAACTGAGTTATTCATAGCAAAGTACTATTTCAGAAAAGAATAAAGAACTCACTGTTAATGATGCCATTAGGCTCAGCTGGAGGCAACCACGACACAACCAAGGACGTGTCATACACATCAGTAAAAGACAAATCACCCACTGGACCAGGCGCTGAAAATATAAACAAAACAAACAACTGAAAGTATGCCTCCAAAATCATCAGAAAAAGCTGCAAAGAATGGCAAGGCCAACGTCTAAACTATCAAATTTTATTTGACAAAAAAACTGTTGTATGCCCATATATAGGCATGGTGTGCCTATATATGGTCATGATGTGATGTCATCATGACCATATTTAGGTATGTCACATGTTTCTGTCCAATCAAATTTGATAGTCTGGCTAAAACTTTAAGCCATAATGATAATTAATCCTTATATTATTAATACTCCTTGTTTTTCACAATAATGAAT